TGTGTGGTTGATATAAAACATCTCTGTTTTCTACTTTTAGCTGTAAATTCCTCATGAAATTTCTATAGTACATCTCCATGCTATTCTAGGTCTAATATAATGCCATTGTCACCTGTGAAGAACACAATCTAAGCACTCCTCTAAAAGTTATCTCCTTCAATCACCATGATCACAGTGTAATGCTTGGGAAGATTGAGAAGGGGGGAGGGGGGTATGGCTTCTTGTCCAAAATTTCATCTCCTAATTCTACTCAAATGAATAATTATACATACAGTGTATATCATTCGATCATAGCCTTTGTACATAATAAACTAGTGTCTTTTTAATTAAAAATAATTTTATGAATGCACAGTATAAAAATTTAACAAAATTTTTAATCAAAAGACCATACACTATAATTACAGGTACACATGTACATTCACTCCTGCCTAGTTTTTGTGTTGAATATCACACTGGTTCAAAAGTAAGCAAGGCAGGGTATTGCAGGCTATATGTGACCTAAATTAAACTGAATAACATGCACTGTGAAGATAAAAAAGCCAAGTAAGACTGGACTATCTAAATTTGGTCATCTGAAATCTGAGGTTAAAGGTCAGGACAATGGCAGACAGGTTGACAAATATAGGCCATAGTTTTAAATATATGCCATGTCTTTTCACATAATACATGTCATGTAATATTAAATTCAAACTTGTACATATAAACTTGTCACAATCCAACATTCTTAAGCTCTTAAATTTGAGGACATATCACCAGATTGTGGATTGACAATATTTCACCTCTGCAAAATGTGATGTTGTCTGCTTGACCTTTTTAATCACTTAAAAATAACTGCATGACTGATAAATAATGTCTTATACACTTCATAATTTTGAAACATTAAATCCCTCACATTTTTTATCACAAATAATCTGGCATCATCAAATTTTAATAAGACATGTAAACTAATTGTTTTGTTTAGCCATGCATTCTTTTAATAGTATAATTTACCTGTTGAGTTGTGCAAAAACTTATCTATATATTTTTAATCATATTTAATCAAAGAGAGGAAAGGGGGAAGAGAGTGTCACAAACTTTTAAGCTCACCTGTACTGAAATTCCCAGTATGTAATTTATTTCTCATCAAAATTCTTTTGTCACCCATCTATTGTTGGTCTCTCTTTTTAATTTTTCACATTTTCAATTTCTCCAACATTTCCAATTTGAATCAAACTTTCTTAAGACCATTCCTTGAACAAAGGTGATTTAAAAAATAAAGGACTGGAGACAATTCATAAAAATAGTAAATACAAGGTGGGTCACATTAAAATCTTCTCAAGAAAAAGACAGACCTTGCATTTAAGCTTCCTTAAGTAGTCTAGATTCTAGTTTATCCAAATCATAGGGTGGGTAAATATATTTATTTCTACATTAGGAGAAATGTGACTCAGGTGAGCATTTAAGTCTATGGGCTATTTGATGCATGATGCACCTTGTCCCTGCTGTTATTATATTATTAGTATGCTTATAGCTCAGTTGAGCTAAATATATAGAATATAATTATGAAAAATTGTCAGGGACATTTTTTTTATTTCAATATCTGTCAATGAATTTAGGATGCTCAAATTTAAAAATAAATAAAAATAAGAAAAGAATGTGCATGTGAAAAACCAATGCAGATACCCCTGTGTGGCAGCTTATACATGTAACTCATGCTTATTTATGACCAAAGTTTAAGTTTTTCAAAAGTAGGTCAAACTCCAAGGTCAGAAGGTCAAAAAATCTGGTACCCAAAGAAAGGTCTTGTTGAAAGGAAGGCACATGAAAAATATAAAGCCCTAGCACCAAGTGTGTTCAAAAGTTATGGCCAAGGTTTAAGTTTTGAAAAATAAGTCAAACTCCAAGGTCATTACATCAAAAATGTTTGTACCCAAAGAAAGGTCTTGTCACATGAAATATGAGAGCCCTAGCACAAACCGTTCAAAAATTATGGTGGTGGTTAAATTTTTTTTTACAGACAAACAGAAAGATGGAAAGACCAAAAAATTATATGCCCCTGACTATCTCCAATAGTGGGACATAAAAATGTGCTCAGAACCCTTGTAGTGTACAGTAAGAGTTACATGATAAAATTCAATCTGATTTTTCACATACAAGGAGCAAATAATTCATTGGACATAATAATTGGATTCCAGTTCTCTTTTTCAGTTTGGACCATCATCAATTTTCTTCACACTGACCAAAATAAAAAACAGGGAATTGACCAATTCTTTCCCTCAGTCTTCCTTGCTAATGAGATTTTAACTAACATAAAAGTGTTCCCCGAACCCACTTGAAATGCATACACCAAGGATAATATAAGATTAAGAGACAAGTTAAGTTTTATCCTATAACTTTTACAAATGATATGTATGCATTGCATTTTCACTACTTCCAATGGACGCTGATCAATAGCCTAAATAACCTTGCATGGACATCTAGCAGGACTCGTTTGAATGTTCTTAACTTTGCATGTCAAATGACAATGGCCGTTCAGCTCAAACCAGAGTTGAACTGCATATTATATTTTGTCATGCAGGAGTGAGTAAGCTTCATTCCAATTATTATCTCATGTCAAAAAGGTCAATCATTTCTGTTGAGTGTTTGAAAAGGCCAAAATTGGCAGCTAGGATATTAAATAAGGTGCCACTGAATTTCCAGCTTTTGAAATTGCTGAAATTCTGGATGTCTTGGATAACCATATCATAATAAAAACACAAGAATAAAGCAGAATTCTTACTTACCTGTATTGATTTTGGTAAATTATGTGTTAATTTGAAAATAACAGACACATTCTTTATAGCAAAACCAATTACACTCTACTTAAGTTATGTTATTTATATAATTATCACATTTAAAACAGTGCTTTAATGCTTGTCAATGAGTGATTCATTTTTCATTACAATTTTAAGTTCACAGCTACAAAACTGATTAAGCTATACACTAAAAAGTGCTAATGTAAAGTAATTCTTTGACCAAGTGATCTAAAAACCTATATTATAGGTATCTTTCTCTGACACAATTCCAACTCTGATGTAAATCTTAGTCTAAGGGTTAGGAAGGAACATTTAACTTTCTGAGCTCCCCCCCCCACCCCCCCAATATATCCTGTATTGGGCAATATCTACCCCCAAAAACAAACTTTGATGGAGAAATCTTTAATTTTGTTCTAAACCATGCAGGGTAATGTTTGCAGGTCACTTCAAAACATTAAAAAATTTCCTCAAACATGACATCATACGTTAGATAAGACATCAAAAAGAAATTTCAAAATTTTAACTGATTTCAATTCAAATTGATTTTGAAAGAAAACTGCATTTTATGTATAAATTTTGATTGAGAATATCAAGTACACAAGTACTGACTTGACCTTTTGATGTAATGTGTAGAATGATAATATCAGTGAAATGTGTGAATATAGTACCTGAGCAAGATTGAGCACTGTGAATACTACTGTACAATCGAAATTGAAAAATTTAAGCCTTGTGCATTTTTGTCCTCTTTTAAAAATAATGGAAACCCCAATAGTTTGTGGTGTCATAGAGACAAAAAATGCAAATTATTTGTTTCAAATCCATAGTACATTTTGCTAATTCTGATTTAGTTTATTAAATTTAAAAACTAATTTCACTATTATGAGAGCAGGAATATGCCTATAAGATATATAGAGTTCTTTAACAAAATAATCTACTTCTCGTTTTCCTTTGCTTACCCATGTTCTAAAAACGAAGTTCAAAATTTAACAAAAAAAGTTCATTTATCATAAGTGACCTTTACCTTTATCCCCAAATGATACAGTCCCTTCTTCTCTCATTCTTGACTACTAGACAACAAGTTTTGTGTCAAATTTCAATCAAATATGGTAAACATCATGTACATTTGACTCACAATAAAAATACATAATTCTCTTCACATGTTTTTAATTCTGATACTGTAAATCACTTTTTATTCATGAAAACTTTATTTCCGCATAATTACGTGAGACAGTGTGCTCGCGAAAATATTGTTCTTGCATATATTAGTATTCCAAAAGATTAGAAAAAGCAGTAACCACAATTCGTAAAAATTTTGTCTTGCTAATAAAGGGTTAATTAATGTCTATCTCGTGAAAATAAGGTTCACAAAAATTTAGTGATCTACAGTAATTGGTAATTTTATGCCCTTATATAGACATGAAAACTATTCTGATGGCTGAACTTCAATATATCAAACACCAGGGATGACTCAAAGGGAGTTTGCTGTTCCCACCTTGCTATAAGTGCTAATTTCAAACATCTCAAAATTTTCTTAAAACTCCCACAGTGTTTGAGATATCAAGGATTGACATATTACACTGGGTATCCATGTTCTTGGATGCATGAGCTTAAGGTAAAATGCAACAAAATATTCAAAATGAATAATTGTTCTCACTTGCACCTTCTTGGCATAAGAAATCCTCACTTTCTTTTTTTCTATATATATATATTACCTTTAGAATATCAGGAATATGTCTCTTTAGTGTGGCCCCTCTGAGGCTGTGGAACATCTGCTCTACCATCTCCTGCCTGTTGTTGAGGTAAGCTCCAATGGAAAACAGCTCCTTATCCAAGTCCAAATCTGAATCTTCTTCTTCACTTTTGCTGGACTTTTTCTGAATTAAAAATGGTGGAGAATTGATTCATACTAAATTCATAAACTAACTGGAACTTAAAAACTCAAGCAAAACTTGGAGTAATAACAAAGCCACAGTTATGTTTGACTATGTCACATTACTCATGTTGAGGATACAGAGAATAAATACCGTGGAATCATTGTTGTTCACAGGGACTCACTAATGTTCATGGATTTTGTGGGTTACCCTTGCCCACAAATTTATATCCCAATGAATGTTAACCTTGTAAATGTATTAGTCCATTGAATCTTCTGTATACTTGAGTTACCCATGAAATTATGTCCTTATACCCATTAAAATTTTGGTTGTCATGAACACTGACCCCCATGAATTTAAATTTTTCTATAATAGCAAGTGAAGAGTGAATAAAATCTTGTGAACAGAGTGAATTCTTAGAGCAAAGGACAAACAGTGAGTAAATGCAAGGCCTGAATTTGTATGATTCTATTCAGGTTCAACTACCTCACATAACTACTGTACAAAACGTGAAAAAAAGATAGTGAATGATGAATATAGCCTTGCAAATGGAATGGTATAACAGAATATAAAATCAAATCTGAGCACTGAACAAAGCTTGAGTAAAAAGCTGAAAAGCATAGACAGTGAATCATGAGCCAAAGTTGAATGCAAGGTGAACAAAATACCAAGTCAATTCTAGTATTCTTAAAAAAAGTGATTTTTAAAAAAAATTTTACATGTACTTTTAGTAATTTTAATCATTTATTGTGATTTTAATTTAATATAAAGCAAAATAAATGAACAACTGGAAAAGAGAGCAAGGTGAGAGAATGGTGAACAGCAATGGATAAGAATCAGAGTGCATGGTGTGCCAGAATCAGTGGTGACTACCCATACCACTGCATGGTGGGCCAGAATCAGTGGTGACTACCCATACCAATGAAAGAATGAATGAAAAGAGAGCAATGAATGCACAGTGAGCAAAAGGTTAAATGATCAGATGCAGAAAAGGGGATATGTTTAGGATTGATTTACAATTATTTGTTCAAAATTCCTGTTCTACATCTATGTTCACAACTTTGGCATTACCAACAAAATTCTGAAAACTTTTAGAGGTATATAGTATCACTGTACCAGTTGCTCCATTACAACAATGGCTAAATGTGTTTTAATGTTGTGTGACAGTCAATAAGTGCCCAATTCTTCATTCATTTATTTCAATACAAGAACTCAAGACATTTCATTGACCTGTAAGAATAATTTTCTTTATTCTTGTAGCCATTATAATTCTGTATAAGAGTTTATAGGAAAGAGTATCCAAAATGCTAGGGATGTGCAATAGCAGAAGTTTTACAGGAATAGACATAACAAAGATTGTCTTCAGAGCCCTAAACTGTACATAGAAAATAGCAATAAGATTGGTGGGTCACAACCTTTTCTTGGATTTGAAGTTTGAAAATTCAGATGACAAAGGAGAAGCTACTCAAAATGAGTTCTTAAGGTTTTACCAAAGGTCAACATGCCCAAAAATTTATTTTTACAACAGCTCCAAAACTATATGAGGTATAAAGTTAAAACTTTTACAGTTTATAAATATATCATTGATTAAGAGATAGAAAGTAACATTTAAAAACAAATATTTAAAAAAATATATTTTTTGAGAAAAAACAATTTCAAAAAATTTGCATATTTTAAAAAAATGCACCTGCTTAATTCTGTACTTTTAGTGAAAACCATCATTGAAGAAATAATATATGTTTATCAATGAAGGGCAAGTTGGACGTGAATGGTCTCTGAAAGGCTGTTACTGAAAGCATGACATGTATAAAGACAAGACCCCTTTAAAATCCGCCATTTGCAATGTACTTTCGGTTTCAAATCTTAACATTTGGATAAAATAAACAGGGAAAACAATTAACTTTCCAGAGGCTATCGAAGTCCAACTTGCCTTTCATTGATAAACATATATTGTTTCTGCAATGGTGGCTTTCACTTAAAGTACGGAATTAATTAGGTGTATTTTTAAAAAATATCTGCATTTTTTGAAAAGAATTTTTCTCGATAAATACTTTCTTTAAGTATTTGTTATCAAGTAATACTTTCTATCTGTTAATCAATGATATATTCATAAACTGTAAAAGTTTGAACTTTATAAACCACATAGTTTTGGAGCTATTGTAAAAATAAATTGTTGGACACGTTGACCTTTGGCAAAACCTTAACAACTGCCTTTTAAATGCTTTTCAAAATAAATGTTTTGTTTGATTTTAAAAAGGCTGAACTGATGAACTTGTTTGCTTTCTTTATATTCTATATGCTTAAACTTTGAGTCATGTTATCATTTGTGGTGAGTATAAAATACAATAGATGCCTTAGCCTATCATGTCAGCAAATTCAATGCCCATCTATAAAAATCTGATTAATTCTTGAAACCCAAAGTGATACATAGAAGGCTTAATTTGTCTTTTTAATCTCCGATCAAAGTACAAAAAAGAAACTCTAATGAGAAAATAAAAAAAATAAATCTTATTATCTTAAATCCCAAAGATGGATGGACAGATTCCATGTTAATTAAAATCTTTTCCATTTTCCAGAATTTGAAAAAAAAAATTAATGCTCATGCAAGCAAAAATGTGACTTCTGCTTGAAATGCTGTCAAAAAGAATAATCATGTAAAAGTTTATTTGAAAATTTGTTGTCTAGGACATGAAAGGAACATCTGTGCTATGGAATCAAGAAATTTTATCAGCATTCAAACAAAGCACAAGATTTAAAAGCAGAGCAAGAACAATGTGATTGGGGATTTATTTCAAAATTCCAACATCAATTATATAAATTGAGCAGCAATAATACTCTCAATTCAGTTGAATAAATTTTAAAACAAAACTCAAATTGCAAGAGAAATGGGAATTTTTTTTTTTTTTAGCTGACAAATATAACAATTTCTGCATGCAGGGTGCAAATTAGAAAATATTGATGAAATAATAAATCTTGGTTCTCTCAGTCCAGAAGAATGGATATTAAAAAAGTTTCTGCAAAAACCATCCAAGTTATTGATTAAATTTTATGCCAAAACAGACCGTCAAAAACAATTTAATCGTCTTGGATAAAGAACATAATTTGTCTTTGGCCTTTCTGATCTAAGGCATCATAGACGATTATTCCCATCACCAGTCACAAAGAACATTAATTTGATAATTTGTTTCCTTTTTCTTAAACTTTTTCGTTTTCTAATTTCTTTTCATTTTACTTATTGTTGACTTTTTTCTGTAAGGGTAAAAGATGTCTATACCTATCCTTGCCAATGACGTTCCAAGGAAAAATAAGGGTACTTAAATAAAGATGAAATAAATCCCAACTGAATTTATAAATTGAAAAAAAGGAAATTATTTTCATCAAGTGTGTCTCAACCAATTCAGACAGAAAGGTAAAAACCATGATGTCAATTAGAGCAAATAATGATAAACATCATCTTTGTCTTGACGAATGACAGCAGAGGCATTCCTACCTAAGGACCAAACTCAGTAGGAAACCCACAAATAGTGAAATGAATTTTAAAGATAATTCAAAATGATAGGTCTTCCTGGAGAACATTTTGAATATTTCAGATGTATGTCAGTCCCTCGTCTGGATGCTGTCTGAAAATCTGGCACACATGTCTTTGATTTGAACATTTCCATTAACTTGGCCACCATTAGTCAATCCAATACTATAGATCAGCTGTCTAATCCTGCTCAATCTGTGTTTCAGGGATGCACTTTAGATATAGAAACAAAAAGATAAATACATATTTGGTATGATCTATATTTATTACCATATGTGAGACTCTCTAATATGAAAGGTGATGTGACCATGTTTTAAATGGGATAAAAAAAAAATGCTGAGAGCTACTCAATATATTGCTATTTTTTGCATCTGTAACAGCCTGTATTCTTCACATCAAAACAAGATGCTCACAGACTACAATGTTAACCTGAGCAACAATGTACCTCTGGAACAATGCACCCCCCCAAACCCCCTCTCAAAAAAAAACCTTTCTTGTCCTGAAACCTCAGATGAAAAGATACATGTATTTCACTAGTACTCTCACTTTCTGCAAGATTTCTTATTTAAAATTGTTATGTACGTTACATCTGATAGGTGAAGTTTACTAGTATTTCAGAAGCAAAACCTATCTATAAAGGAAACATGATCATTTATGTAAATTCATAGGTACACATGCCATTCAAAGCATCTGACTGGACATAAAAACAGAACTCACAAGAGAAACTTAATTACAATAGTCCTAACTTGTGTCAATAAAATATTTCAAATGACCACTGAAATCCCAAGAATAAATGTGCACTGTTTTTTTTGTTTAAACATAACCAAGGTATATCATTATCCCATCCAAACCCAGTTCCTTGTTCCTTCAGTGGAATGGTAATTTGTTCAAAATTTAGCACAGTGAAGCTCATTTTAGTGTCAAGCTAATTAAAATACTTTAAACAGTAGTTGGGTGTGAAGGGGGGGGGGGGGGATCTTAATCCAGTAAACCTTGCATAAAGTAGTAAAGTAGTTGGGTACAGAATGGGAAAGTGTTGTATCAAAAATAAGTTTTAGTATTAAATTAAAAATAGAATTGATGCAACTTTTTTAAACAAATAAAAAGAATAGGGAATTACAGATATCATGTAAATAAATAAAATGGTTTTTGTAATGCATAGTTGTTTCTGTTTCTTAATTTAAAAAAAAACCCCAGACTTTTATTACATGTATTATTACACTAAATTTTCAAGACAAATTCATCATATACAAATTAATAAAATCAGAAAATACAACAGGTATAAAATTTTTCTATCCCTTTAAACAAAGAAATCTTCACCAGAATTAAAAAATCATCTCTAAGCAAAATTGCTCAGAATGTCTAAATCAGAAGATATAAAACGATCATCTATCTTTGACTGCCAATAGATCATTATAACTGTATGTACATTATATTAACATTTTCTTACGACTTTCTGAACTGTGACCTGGAACTGGCCCTGTTTATTTGATTCCTTTATTATAATATTAATGGTCAATATTTTATTTGCTGTCTATAAGAAAACATGAAAATCTGATAGGTGGAACTTGAATTATTTTATGTCTGTGGGAAGTGGTCAAGGTTGTCATTTTTGCCCTAGCTTTTTGTCATTTTATAATTGTTTTATAATGTATCTGTCATACTTTTATTCAAGTAATGCCTTATTTTGGAACACAATGACAAATACCTTTTTAGTGGACTGGTGTTTTTTCTTCTTTTGTGAACTTCTCTTGCGTTTGGATGAGGCCAGTAGGGGATCAGGGTCAACCTGTGTGGAATCGGCCACCATTTTCTTGGCACTCATATTTCTGTAAAGATAGAACAAATATGACATTCAACTTCAATAACCAATTTCACCCTATAAAAATGAAACTTTTTTAATTCCCTGTAGTTTAATGCCATGATCACTGTATGCCAGTGAGATAAAATGAAAAAGTATTGGGCATGGCCATTAGCAGATGGGTGGCCTGGTGTCTTAATTTGTAATAAACAAATTGCATATTGTGTCAAAAATAACAATAACTGGAAAACCCATTAATTAAAACCAATGATATATCCAAAGTCTTTTTTGGCTACAGCAAAGACTTTCTCAACAAATATTTTATTTTCAAAAAATATCAAAATGAGGAGAGATTATGATAAGCACGTGTTCTAGATATTTAAAGCTCCATCTAGCAAAATGTTTCTAAATGTGCATTAATGTTTTCAAATCCTTAAATAAACCTCAACTTCAGAGTACTGCATTCCTCCTTTTGACAAACTATGCAAACATTCTGTTTAAAGGACCCAGTGTTGGTGGATTCTGATTAAAATTTTATTTCATGCTTCACTCCAAGCTGACCGCATGCTAGAGGTTTTTTCACCAATTTTATCAATTGGAATACCAGCCAGATGCTTTCAATCAAAGTCTGAAACAATGCTTTATGGAACAAGATAATACAAAAAACTAATTTTTATTTTTGGAGAAAAAAAAACGTCCAATTTATGTTCTGCATACCATCCACATTGTAAAGACCCAGAGTGAACTTTATAATATTTATTGATTCTTTTATCAGACAAACAAAGATCGTAAATTTTTGATTCCATAAATTCAATTTGTGCCTGTAGGGAAATTATATTTTCATAATACAATTCAGATATGAATTAATTTTTGTTAGAAGTTAATTATTGATTTTCATCAAATTGCAAGCCTTTAAGCTTTGGCAAACAGAGAACTGTTTCAATAATTATTTTCAAAGCATTTTTTCAAAACATCTAATCTCTTATTTCCATTAATTGATTAAGAGTTTCCATGAAAGAATTTGACAAGCACAATTTTTTTTATAATTGTTTCCACTCCAGATTTTAAATTTTTGTTTCCAATTAAAAATAAAAAAAAAAGAGAAAGCTTTTGATATGCAAAGAAGATACATGTTGCGAAGGCAATTATTCAAAGTCTAATTTAAAAAGCTTTTAGACAAAAGCCATGACATTTGTTTCAAAAGAAGAGCCAAGTATCCAGGGAGCCCGGAGCCCAAGTGAGACATGAAGCCCTCTGCTTTTTCAATAGATTCATTATTTGTCTTAGGGCAACAAAATATTCCATTTAAAAAATTATTATCAAATAAAACTCTGTCCCAACAGGGATTGAAGTGGCTTTCAATGATGTACCACTGGAGTGTTACACAAATTTGAAAGGTCATGTTTCTGGCATGGTCAGGGGATTGACTGGCATCGGAGATAAAATTACAAAAAAACATTCCTCGGTAAAAATTCCCCGATGGGACAGTATGTGAGGCTTTTTGATCAATTTCAAGTCAAATTCAATACAAGGTCAATTTTATCAGCTGCATCTTCAAACAAGGTCTGTTTTATGATCTGTATATCTTCCAGCAGCCATCTCTTTTTATCTCTAGAATGAAAATTTTACTTTTTCGTGCAAAAAAACTGAGCATGTTCTTAAAGAGTTCGTCATTGGACTGAAGTGCTTGCCAAATTTGTGCTACCAGTAAACTGTAATTTGAGACAATTTCCAGTGTCAGAATACAATACCTTATGCTTATTCTAATAAGCTAAAATGTCAGTTTAATTCTTGAATTGTCTATACCAGAAATTTTTGTTATAGGTAATTGACCTTATCCTGATGTTACCCTGACACAACCTTGACCTTTTAGTATATGCACAACTGCAGAAGTATTCTGTGAATTTAATACTTTTATTGGTCATTTATTTGCATAAGTAGAAAGGCCTTTAAGGGACACACTTTTCAAAGATAAGGAAACACCTAATCAGATCAAGTTGTAAGAATTGTAACAGTCTCTGAATTCTATTTTTTTTTCCTTCAAAAGCCATGTTGTTAACACAGAGTTTGAATAAGATTTTGATGATGGCTGCCCGAGTCACATGTACTATTTACACCCAATGATGACCCAGAAATTCATGATGACCTAGTTTTAATCAACAAATTAAAATTTACCCAACTTTGAAGAGTCATTTCTCTGTACTTTAATATAATTTTCAACCTAATAATAACTGCTTAATGATCGTATCCTAGTTTTAAAACTAAAATTTATTGATTTTTATACTGAACCCTTACATCAGTGTAAAATTACAGTCTGCTTTAATAAATTTTATCAAGCAAATATTTTTTTTTTTCAATGTGCATTAACAAAAATGGTACTTCACAACATATTAAAAAATTGATTTTCTGTGTGACATATGGTTTAAAATTACCACATTAATAAGAATAACACAGGACCCAATGGGGTTAACTAAAACTGTACAGAAGCAGTATAATCAAAAGAACTTATTTTTACACTTCAGTAGTAATATTTTGTTTATGACTCACTAATCCTTACTTAAATACATTTGACAAATATATACCAGGTTAAAACCCTCAGTGATTCACTATGATATATATTTCATAAAAGTCACCAGAAAATAATTTCTTCAATTTTGATTCAACTATACATGCATAAACACTTTTGAATCATTTTTTCCCCTAAAAAAATAGTTGTAAACAAAATGATTTGGATAATTATTAATTTAAAGCAAAACAATCTATATATAAATCTATAATTTATCAGCTACCAAAAAATCCACTCCTCCACAAACATTGTCTTTCCCATTACACTCACAACTAGAACAATGGGCATTTTTCATTAGAAAGTCTGAATACTCAAACTTCTCCACTCTTTGTCTTCTACAATTTGTTGCAGGTGCCAAATGAGAACTAATGAAGACATCATAATCTTTGAGTCGCTCTTTTTGCAGTTGTTTAAACCTGTTGTTACCGTTGTCTTAGCTCATTACTTTTTTATATATGTCATTACTTTCATACCAATGTTATTTGAAATCAAATTTATCTCTTCAATAAATTCCAGCAACAAGTGCACATGCATAATTAAAAGCATCTTTTATTGAATCACCCTTTGTCAGTCTTTGGAATTACGCAATGCATTACACAAGACAAAAGAAAGAGTGCCACTTTTCTACCCTTAATGAATCAGCATGCTTCATTTGAACAGTTAAAAACACCTTAAAAACATTTGACATTCCAAACTGAAAATTGCCAATGCTCTGATTAAATTGCACTGAATTTTTTTAATACGCTGAATGTTACAGCTATTGTTTTACATGTTTCTCAAATATGGCCAATACCATTTAAATCAATCTGAAAGAACAGTAGAAGAATTGTAAACGAAACACTATTTGTCTTGGATCTTTACAATAATTTCAGATTTGAAGAGGTACTTTGTTAAATTCAGTCTGAAAATAACCAAATATGTGTTTCTTTTATTACATATAATAATAAATACCACACACTAACTTTGAAAAAAAGATCTTTTGTTTACAACAATTAAGGTTAAGTCAGTATAGTCTTTATGAAGACCACAATATTGCATCCAGGCCTTCCAATAATCTGTTGGAATTCAATGGACACTAATTGTGCCCCTTTATTAACTGACCTAGCTGTTTTTTCACATTCCTTTGAAGCAGAATTTATTCAAAAATTTCTAAGTGAGAAGAAAACTCTTGCTGTTGCCATCAACTCAAAATTTACTTGGTAGATATATTGATGAATTAATCAATTAATAATAGTTACTTTCATTCATATGTCAACTCAGTATATCCCAGTGAACTTGAAATTAAAGATACTCAGAGTCTGCCACATTTGTTTCATATCTGGATATTTTACTGACTACAGACAATATTGGCCAACTAATATCTAACCTGTATGACAGTTGGGATAATTTCAGCTTTTCAATCAACTTCCCTTACTTATGTAGTAATAATCCAATATCACCTTCATATGGTGTTTATGTCTCCCAAATAATTCAACATGCAAGAGCATGCTCTGAGTATGATCAATTTTTAAACTGAGGCAAGCTACCAAAACATAAGTTGATGGTACAAGGATTTCAACAACCCCATTTAAATCCAGCTTTTCACAAATTCTACAGTCATAATAATGACAATATTTGAAAATACAAACTGTTGGGTTGTATTTTGTCTGATGTGTTTGATACCATTGTAGGTCATTAATTTGACTATAGAGTACTCTGTATACCTGATCAATACATGGGGCTCATGGTGGGTGTGACTGGTCAACAGGGGATGCTTACTTCTCCAAAGCACCTGATCCCACTCTGGTGTTTTTCCTTGGGTCCTTGCTTTTGCCCTGTTCATGATTTGTTTTGTTTACCGGATTTATGAGATTGATTACTATTTGATGTTATCTTTATTTTTTACATCCAAAGCCCTTAAGTATATAACAACCCCCCAACCCCAACCCCAACCCCCCTGAAAATATGCCCATAGGACATGAATACCCCACCCTTCATCATTACTTCATCAGTAATGTATGAAATTTGATTAAAATATCTTGAATGATTTCTTTAAAGCTGAGTTTTAAACACAATAAATAGTAAGGATAAAGGTCATTTGGAAGGTCAAGGTAAAAAAAAACCATGGACACAGTTGATAAATTCTCACCAAATAATGTACCAGTGCATAATCTTACATAAAAATATCTTGAATAATTTTTTGAAACTGAGGTATAAAATGCAAATTTTAAAAAAAAAAAGTGAGGTCAAGGTCAAAGGAAAGGTCAAGGTCAAAAATTGTTGATGAAGTTGAATAGCTCTCTCCAGTATATGGTATATATATCATCATATAACCCTATACATTTGAACAAACTTGAATCCCCTTCACCCAAGGATACTCTGAGCCAAATTTGGTTAAAACTGGCATAGTGGTTCTGGAAATGAAGATGAAATTGTAAAAAGTTTATGAAGGCAATGACAACAATGACAGACAATGAACAAAT